CAGTCTCCTGGGGATTGGCCCAAAGTCACCCAGCCAGTGTTCATCCCTAAAGTGGGACTAGAATTTATCGTCTCCTGGGGATTGGCCCAAAGTCACCCAGCCGGCTTCCATGCCTAAGGCAGGACTAGAACTCACCGTCTCCTGATGATTGGCCCAAAGTCACCATAACTAAGGCGGCACTAGAACTCGCCGTCTCCTGGGGACTGGCCCAACGTCACCCAGTTGGCTTTCACGCCTCAATGAACTGTTGTAAAGCGAGGACTGCCTATACCAGTGATGGCGAACCTTTTAGAGACCGAGTGCCCAAACTGCAACCCCAAACCCACTTATTTATTGCCGGGTGCCAGGTGGGCGTGGCCCACTGGGTGGGCGTGGCTGTGGTGATCATGGCAGAGTGGGTGGGTGTGGCCAAGGTGGGCATGGTCACCTCGATGTTGCTCTGGAGAGGGACGCCTGTGGGGGGGGTGGGCAGGGTTGGGGGAGATCCAGGGGGTTTCTGGCAGGTGGGGCGGTAGGCAGGAGGCTCGTCCTGCGGGGTGAGGCGAGGCAGGGTGGGGGTGAAGGCAGGGGCCGGGGCGGCTGCTCCCTGACATCATCGGCCCCCCGCACACAGAGGCCAGCGAGCGCATGGGGGCCGACAGTGTCCGTCAGCAGCCACAGCCTCCCGGCTCCTTGACTGGCGCACGCTGGGATTCCGCAGCCCACCGCCAGCAATTCAAAGAAGCCGCCTCTGAGCTAGACGGCTGGCCAACAGGTGAGGAGGCAATGCAGTGGGTCGTGCCTGGAAAAAGGAGAGCATGCGAGGCCAGGAGGGATGGGACAGGGGGGAGGGAAACCAGCCATGCCGGGATGCATCCGGCCACGTGGGACCTCGGCGAGTGAGCGGGCGGCTGGTTGAAGAGGGACGGTTGCCATCTCCGGGGCATGGCGCGCGTGCCCACAGACAGGGCTCTGAGTGCCGCCTCTGGCACGCGTGCCATAGGTTCGCCACCACTGGCCTATACTGCTGCAAGTTCACCTCCAGCATCACCTGGGGGTTTGGGCTGGTCCAATCCCTCCTGCTTTGCCCCCCCTCCCCCTCCCACCCCTCCTACCTGTGACTGTGGTTGAATTTCTGTACGAGACGCCCTCCGTCTGCCAGCCGGATCTGGATGTTGGTGGTGGGCTCCGTCTCGTCGATGGTGATCAAGGAACGGGCTTTGGCTTCGTTCTCCGCCTCCTGCGAGGGCGAGCTGGACCCCATCACTTGGGGGGCAGTGCTGGGGCCAAAACAGAAGGGGACCGAGGGTAAGTCCGCTTCGCGAAAAAAGCCTTCGAGCCCTTTTTCCAGAAAAGCTCAGTTGGAAACTGCAAAGCTCTCTAGCGGAACTAGGAGGCGAATGAACCGGCCCTGCTCAAACTAAAGCATCGAGGATGGATTGAGAGAGAAAAAAACTGTTTTTATCATTGATTTCTTTGTATCCCGCCTTTTATTGTCTTTCTAAATAACTCAAGGCGGCAACCATCTCCAACAGATCTTCCTCCTCCTGTTTTCCCCATCACCACAACCCTGTGAGGTAGGATAGGTTGAGAGAGAGGGACTGGCCCAAAGTCACCCACCCGGCTTTCGTGCCTAAGGCGGGACTAGAACTCTCCGTCTCCTGGGGATTGGCCCAAAGTCACCCAGCTGGCTTTCATACCTAAGGCGGGACTAGAACTCACCATCACCTGGTGATTGGCCCAAAGTCACCCAGCCAACTTTCATGCCTGAGGCAGGACTAGAACTCACCGTCTCCTGGGGATTGGCCCAAAGTCACCCAGTTGGCTTTCATGCCTAAGGCGGGACTAGAACTCACTGTCTCCTGGTGATTGGCCCAAAGTCACCCAGTTGGCTTTCATGCCTGAAGTGGGACTAGAACTCACTGTTTTTTTTCCTGTCAAGGAAGTACAGATAGTTCCCGACTTACAACAGTTCATTTAATGACCGTTCAAAGTTACAACGGCATTGAAAAAGTGACTTGGGACCATTTTTCACACTTATGACTGTTGCAGCATCTCCACTATCACATTATCAAAATTCAGACACTGGGCACCTGACTCCTATTTAGAATTGAATAGAGCTGGAAAGGACCTTGGAGGTCTTCTAGTCCAGCCCCCTACTCAAGTAGAAGAACCTATACCATCTCAGACAAGTGACTGTCTGGTCTCTTTTTAAAAGCCTCCAGTTGTGGAGCGCCCACTATTTCTGGTGGCAAGCTGTTCCACTGGTTAATTGTCCTCACTGTTAGGAAGTTTCTCCTTAATTCCAGGTTGCTTCTCTCCTTGATCAGTTTCCAACCGTTGTTTCTCATCCTTCCCTCTGGTGCTCTGGTGCACAACCTGGCCCCCTCTTCTTTGTGGCAGCCCCTCAGATACCGGAACGCTGCTATCATGTTTCCCCTATTTCTTCTTTTCCCTAGAACTAGCCAAACCCAATTCCTGCAGCCGTTCTTTGTATGTTTTGGTCTCCAGGCCTTGGATCATCTTAGTTGCTCTTCTCTAAACTTTTTCCAAACTCTCAACATCTTTTTTGTGATATGGTGACCAAAATTGGCTGCAGTATTACAGGTGTGGCCTCACTAGGGTTTTATAAAGCGGTACTAATACTTTGCGTGATCTTGATTCTATGCCTCTGTTTATGCAGCCCAGGATTGT